GATGACCTTTGAAGGTCCCTTCCAGCCCTAACCATTCTATGATTCTATGATTCTATGATCCTAGAATTTATTTTCATTTTTGCAAATCTCTGGCTCTTCAGAAAGCTTGCGGACACAGGCATGAAACTAAGCGCTATGGTACTGGGAACCATTAAGGATAACAGGACACAGAAAATGGAAGTCTTGCAAACCAAGACAGAGCTGCTACAGGATGAGTGAAGACAGTCGCAGCGCTGCTTGTTGGAGCAGGACGGGACATACCTGCGTACGGCGCCAATTTATTCACAACTTCTATTCGGTCAATGTAGATCATGACACCACCACTGCAAGGGAAAAAGAGAATTCACGAATTACTGCTGCAGCCATTAACAGTGCTCCATACTTCAAGCAAAATCATCTTTTTCCCCTCACTAAGTTCGACTAAATTTAGCCAGAACAACTCTGACTTCTTGAGCATTTTGCAATTAGACGGCAGCGAAGCCCGGGCTTCGTGCAGACCGTTCCCTCTCTCCGCACGAGCCAAAAGCGTGCTACGGCACGTCTGCAAAGAACTTCCACTTCTCTTTGTTATCTCCCACGTAGCCAGCAAAAGGAAAACGCTTTCGTGACCGTGCACACGCGCCCGGGCACGTGCACTGTCCAGAAGCTCCAGACACCTCGCCAGGGAAGCCTGCAGGCAGCCGTGTCCCCCAGGGATCATGTGCTGCCAGAGCAACGGAGAAAAGAGGGAATCGGAGGTAGGGCTTGATTCCAGCCTCTGCACTCACTGATGTGGCTTTCAGCAGGTCATGCCCACTCCTGGGTACCTGGGACACTGGAGAAAAGCGCAAACTCGACAGTGAAGGAAAGATTCCTGCATTTTGAGCAGCTTGCAAGTCTCTGCAGAGCGTATTTTTAAAGCATGATACTCTTGCCATTTTGTCCTCAGGGCAAAGGCAAAGCACGAACGAGAAGACAGAGCAGAAACTGTTTAGAGACAGCTGATCCTCAGAAGCAGGACCTCGCACATTTCCAAAACTAGTCCCCGTAACACCTTAACTCAAACATAACCTCCATGACAAACTCAGTTTCTTGTTTTGTAGCTCTTGATTTCTGGCAGTTGAAAGCTAAGTCTGAAGAAAAACCACCTGAACTTGCCCATGTCTGTGCTCTTTTAGGAAAGGTCTCCCAGGCACAGCCTGGGCTCGCTCTGCAAACCCACCTGCTTCACGGCAAGCGACGAGCTAAAAACGTTGGTGATGGACTGAACTTGCCCACTGGAAGGGGCAAGCCAGCAGAAGAGATGTTTGTGGCTAAAGAAAGACTTCTTTCCCAGTCACATACTACTATTAAGAGTATTAACCTCTTTTTCACTCAAGATTTCTCTTTAGGTCGTTTCTATTATTTTTAAATAAGACAGGATTATGGATCCTTCATAGGTATGTCAGGCTGCACAAGCAGTTAGAACGGCACGGTACATGCGTTCTTCTCCATCTCATCTGTTCTGCGCTCTAACTGTCCCACCACTTCCAATAAAACGACTATTTGTCATCGCAAGCGATGTCCAACAGCATTCTGCATGATCTTCTGAACCTGCTGCCATCCTCCTGATTTGTTCCAGTTGCCTTATGACGTCTCCACCAGGACAAGTAAACCCAGCTACCATCTTGGGGTATCTTCTAGATATCCTGGTGAGGAACTAAAGCAGAGCATGCAGGCTTCTTCCACCAGAATCTCCTCCACGGCACATCTTTACGTTGGGGTCCTTCTGGCATTTCAATTTTATGAGGATGTTGGAAGGAAAAAGAGCACCTAAGGCAATCCACTTCCTAC